TCTTTCAACTTCTACCTTTCATCTTTCTATCATCCTTCGAGGTACAAAGGAAACGCAAGGTCGTACAAACCAGGTGCAAACTACTAGTTTATGACTTCTTTTCCGTTCAAGTCGGAGACGCCAGGTTCACAGTAGTGAGAGAACGACGTGCGTGGACGACTCTGCCGAATACCCTCGAGGTGTATCTGTCTCTCTGGGTGTGGTCGTAAAGTCCCGCAGCGTCTCGCGCCGCATCGCGAATAGCGAGGCGAACTTGTATCAGGTTTTCAACTGGATTAGCACCTTGTTCCGCTAGACGTGAATCAAGCGACAACTGAAAGACCGTGCCATTATTCGCGATCTTAATGGCAATCAAGGTGCCCTCTCTTTGAATCACCACGCGATCGCTGAATTTTCGTCGGAAAATCGCGGATTCGAATTAAAAGACGGATTTTTCGATTAAAATTCGAAGAAGATGCAATTGAGCCCGGAAATTACTGTATCTGTGGCGGGATTTCTCTTAGCGTATAGTGAAAATCAAGGTATTTGGTATCCGCGACTACAGTCGCGCGCTTGAGTGAGAGAATTATAGCCACGAATTATAGTCACGATAACCGACTTTTCCGCTAAATGTTACTATATAGCGTCATTGATAATAATCTTATACGCGTACTGCTACTGTTATATTCTTTTGATAAAACCAGAAGAAGATACAGCCGAAGACTACATGCAATTGATGACTGTGACTTTCGTGGGATCTTCTCTCCGAGCGAGGATGATACTGCGTGCAGGGCAGGACGACTGAGATATAACGGCGGATCGGCGAATTCTGTAAGGACTCGAGGACGAGTCGGCCAGCTCTCGTCAGCAGGATTCAAACGCTGCATTCCCGAGGCGATCGTGGGATCGACGATCGGCCCGCCATAATTGATATATACGTCTCTCATCCGATAGTTGACGCGATTAAGCCAGACGCTACAAAGTGCTAGCAGGGCACTCGGAGGAACGTTTTCCCGACGTTCGCTCCCCCTTTTCCGCTCGCGAGGGAAGACACCTATGCGCTGCCTGCGCCGGTATCTGTCTCGGAATGGCCTGGGTGTGGCCATAAAATCTCGCGATTCTGAAACGAAGTGCCCCGTCGAAGGTGCGCGCCGCTCGAGAGCGGGCGAGAGGAATCGAGAGTACCCGCGGGACAGACGGGTATTGAGCGTTAAACGAGAGTAATACCTCCGCGGAGAGGTGAGTCCCCGAAGAGAAGAGGTACGTAGAGGAGCTAACGCATTGAAACCGGTTCCCGAGTGCTCGACGAGAGCGCGGCTTGGTAGCCTCCGCTCCATCTGGCAAGTGTAAAGCACGGAAAGATCCGCGGAGCCGCGATAGCGGGACACGTTCCTCGTCGTATTCGCGGGCAGGACGACACCCCGCGCCGCGGCTCCCGAGCGCGCGCCTTCTCGGCCTCCCTTATCACGCGATGGCCCTTATTCCGCGAGGAAACGAGTCGATATAAACCACGCGGTGGAATTCGCCGGCGGATGCGCGGTAGTTAAGCGGATCCGCGTCGTATCCCCGGGAGAAGACGCCGCTGCTCCCGATCCGCTCTCTCTCTCTCGTGTCCTCTTATCGGCGGCGCTGCGGACGAACCTCGCGAGAACGGAACGAGAGCGGGAAACGCTCGGAGAGAGCATCGCGAATGTTAGACCAACACTAACATTATATATCATCGGTGGAATTTCTCATCCAACGATGTGGGCCAGCGATGTCCCAGGTAGAGCAGGAAATCACAATAACATCAAAGTGACGATCGAGATGACGAGAGAAGGTGATCGATCGGAAAGTGAGCGATCACAGTCATTTTCTCATCATTATTGTAGTCATCTTGATGTAGTCGTCATGGTGATTTCCGTTCTACCTGGGATAACATTCGCGTATGCATCACAACGGTTACATTGGTGAGCGAGGAATTATAACGTTGGAGTAACGTTACTGTTTGGAAAACGATTTAAAGGCCTGTCTATCGCGATGTCAGTCACATGTTTCTAGCGACAACGATCGCAAATGTCGACTCGACTTCGACCGTTGCAAATATGGCGCCAATCAGAAAAAGCGTCAAGGCATAATGACGTTACATCACTGACTGGCGTTTTTGATTTGCAACGGTTGAAGTCGAATCAACTTTTTTGATCATTCGTCGCGACGAGCGTTGCGTCCGCTTGCGTTCGACACTGCGACGAACGTAGAAAAGCCTTTATGGTTACGGCCTTGCACACGATGTGACGAAAGCGAGTGTCCGCTGCGACGTACGCGATTGCACATCCATCCCTCGACTTTCGACAACTTAATTACAGGCTGAAGAGAGTGGTGACCGGTCGATCGGCCGGTCGGTCGGTCGGTCAATCGATCGGCCACTGATAATGACCCGTGAATATCGGTTAATGGAATGCTTATCGGTTCATGCGGAGAATCGGGAAGCCCAAGGAGAAGTCTTAATGAGATACAAATTGACTCAAACTCGTCGTGGGTGTTTAGGAACTGATGTTTACGACGGTTGGATGCTTAATTCTACGAATGAACATGCTGGGTGAAGAGAAATGTATATGAAAAAATCTGCTAAATTATTCTCGGCGTCAGCCATGCTCTTTGTCGTGTCTAATGATAGCAATATGTAAAGAGTTATCATACGCACTGCAGTAGCACTCGCTGAAGCAATAGTTCTCCCGGCTATAATCTCACTATGCGTTTATAGTCGCAAATACGAAACATTATTTTTTTGGCACTCGTGATTTTTGTACTATTAAAAATGGGACAGTCGCTAGCAGAAAGATCTAACAGAGTTACACGATAATGACACGCTTTAATAATACGTAACTTCACATACATAAATTCTGATCACGAAAACTGACTATTAGCGTGTGATGAATATTAGTGATAGATATGTTTGCATGCCAATTGCTGCTACTTGTTTTTATTCGAAAGAAACGAAAACATATGATTAATGCCGGGGATGACTATAGCTTTCTAACGAGACGAAATTTTCCTCTCGATATAAGGATATCAGTGCGTTTAAAGTTGTCAATCTTAGTGAAATAAAATTAACAAGAAGTTTTCAATTACGCGGGACAATATACAACGCTGATATCCATCCTAGGCTTAAACACGCGTATTTCCGGCGTGACGATGCGATATTGCGATGATTCCCGATCTTTCTGCGATCAAAATTATCCGGCGTCTCGACGGTTTCTTCTGATTTACTTCGTTATCGCGGTTCCCGCAGCCGAATCGCAGGCGTAAACACATTCCAACACGTCGCGACGTGAAGTTCTCTAAAAAAAACCTCGCGATTTTTTTGTGTTTACAAAGGCGTGAAATGGTTCAATTATTGTTACTCGAAGAAAGAGGCGAGCCGCAGAGATAGGTACAGGTGTTTGACTGTACAGGTGTTCGACGTTAATTGCAGTCGCGATTCTGCACCGAGCGAAGCGAAGGGTTCGCGCGCACGCGGCGAAAGATGGCAGGGCGATTCATAATTCAATTAGTTACTCGGTTATCTTTCTCTCTCATCGAGGACAGATATAATCGATATATACTCATTTGTCGCCGCACGCACGGCGCGCGGTTTATCTTTCGCTATCTGAAATGTATGATGATTGATCGCGCGTATTTATTAGTCGCGCGAATAAGATTGACATTTATGTTCACGTTTGAGCGAGCGAAAATTATCCTGATCGTTATTACCACAACTCGTAATTTCATTTTGCGCGCGGCGTAATTCGTTCTAACGGATCGTTCCTTTTTTTTCTTTTTACAACTAATTGCACAAGGTAAAGCATCGCGTAACAATACGGATGTTGTTCAATCGTACGAAAACGTCTGTATAAGGAAAGCTCGTTACTGAATTCCTGGAATAATTATTTTAACGTCGTCACGGCCCCATAAAGTTTCCGCGCATTCTTTCGTCACCTCCGCCGACATTTCATCGATTATTGTCTCTACCTTCGATAGTCTTAAAAGTGTGTTCAGGTGTTCCGGTAAGGTTAAACAGCGGTTTGAAATTTCAATAACGTCGTCCTGCAATCTTGTTGTGTAATATAAAATGCATGAAACACGATTGTAAATAGCGAGAGCGCTGAGAGAACGCGTGACGTATCGTCGTAATTATCGATTTATCGCCCAACAACGGGATTAATTGGCTCTCCATTACTCACACTTGCGCCCGCCTTATCTCGCATATCCAAGAACAGAGCGGTATATATTATAACGATCGGGACGCGCGTCTGCACGGAGTGTGTGCGTCTCGCAAGCGTGAAACTCTTCGCGGCCGCTTTCGGCTGGCGTTTAGAACCGGTCGCGAGGGTCGTTCGTCTCGCGGCGAATTGAAACGCGAGAAGAAAATCGAGTCGCGGTGAAAATATTTCTCTTATCATGATTCACTCGCGCGGCGAGGACGAGGGGATTATTAATGAGTTCAGTGCACCCAAGGATCTCTTCTTTGTTATTGAACGGATAACGGCCACAATATTTACGCGCCTGTTCAGATCGCGCCTGTTGCAAACACAATCGTTATTTTTACGCTCGCAAATCGGTTAACGTGCAGCTACCGTGCGAGAAATACCGTGCGACTGAGAAGGGAAACCGCGAGCTAATGGAAGCAACTCTCTCTCTCTCTCTCTCTCTCTCCTCCCGATTTTGATACCACTTTGTGTTATTTTGGAAGGAGCCTCTTGGAGAGACCGGTGGTATCGAAAGCTACCGATCGCGCGAAGATCCATGTTTCGCAAGAGCGAACGTAAGTGGATAGAAACGTAAATAAAGCGCAGATATGCGCGAACTATCGCGCGAAATGATGTACGTGACTCAGCACAGATGACTCCGTACGGGCTCCGTATGTGAATCATATGTGATCGTGACGATTTGCACGACTCTCGAAATATTCCGGATACTTTTGGTTTCGCGCGAGTTATCGGGCGATGCTCACGTAACGATCCTCCGTGTGATTCACCGGGGGGTGGCCTGCGACAACTCACCATCGATCAGAGAAGCCGGAACGTTCATCTGCTGATGGTGGTGCGCGGCGGTCGGGTGCTGATGGTGATGCGGCGGGTGGACCTGCAGGAGGTGCGACCTCGACTGGGAGAAGGTCGGTGACGGCGGTTCCCAAGGTCGCGCGACGCTCGTGCTGACGGGCGCGTCTTCATCCTGGCAGCAGAACTTGTCGCCCGCCGCCGAGCTGCTCGAGCAATTCGTCACACCGCCGTGCCCGTCGTTGCTGCCACCGTTGTTCGTGCTGCTGCCGCTGCTGTTGTTGTTGTTGTTGCTGCCGCTGACGTTGTTGCCGCCGCTGTGGCTGTTGCTACCGTTGCTGGCGAGGCGCGTGGTGGTCGCGCCCGTCGCAGGGCTGCCACTACCACTAGCACTACCACTGACACTACCACTGCCAATGCCGTCGACCTGCACCATCTCGCCGTCGATCGCAGCCGCCGACTTGGCAGTACCAGGAGGGGTCGCGACGCCACCACCGATCATCATCACCAGACGGTGTTCTTACCTCCGCCCCCTCCACAGTCGTGAGCAACGGCTCCTCCCTCTCTCCCGCTTTCTTCCGCCGACTCTACGACGCGGTTTGTGTCCTCCGGCTCGCCCCCTGCTGTTCCCCGTTTTGCATCCGACGATCTTCCCGGCTGCGAATTACCCGAGAGCTCCGCCAACCGAGCCAACCAGCGGCTGTGCTCTCGGCTTTACGCGCGAGCTTACGCACAGCGCGAGCTTTTTCGCTGCGGACGGCTGAGGACGCTTGTCATCACGCGACGGAATGTAGCTTACGCGCGAACACCCCTGCGCCGAAATCGCCGAAATCGCCTCTCAGTCGCTACTTCCTGCGTCCTCGTACGCGCGTTCGACACGAGCCTAATTCACTCGCGCGTCGGCCCGACTTGGCTTCTCACTCGCGACCCTGCGCCCGATGTCGTTGCCGGCGAGATGCACGTCGACCCCACCCGTCGACGTCTGTCCGCGAAAGCTTCGCCTCATCCTCTCACCGTGTTCAGGGTTCGCCGCACAATCGTCACGTGTCCGCACCGTGAAAGCACACCGATCCTCCGACAGACACACGTTGTTTCCGCGGATTCGCACGTGGCCAAGCGAGAGCGACGATTACGAGTCCGCTGCGTGTATTCCCCTTGCGTATCCTTGGATCAACGGAGCGGAATGGTCTACTCGCGCGGTGACGGTCGCCAGCGCATCGCGACGCGAGCTTTTACGTCGTCGCCGCGGGAGCTGCGGTAGTCGAAGTCGAGGAACCGAAGGTGCGGAGTGTTGGAGCGCAGGCGCCTTCGACGAAGCTCGTGATCGCTTCCTCCACCTCCTTCTCCACCTCCTCCTCCCTTAGCTCTTCCCTCTCCGTATTCTCTCTCTCTCTCTCTCTCTCTTTCTCTCCCCCCTTCTCTTTCCCTCTCTCTCCTTCCGCCTACGAAGGCTCCCTTCTCCAATGACGGACACCGAGGACTACGCCAGCGGGGTAACCTGCTCGCACTCCGCCGGATTCGAGCGGATTGCCTTCCGCTCAGGGTTTCGAAGCGCGCCCAGACTAGCCTTACCCCCACCTTGCCCTTCCCGCGGCCCGGTACTCGCCCGCCGCCGCTACTGCTCGCCCAGGTGAGATCAAGATTTAATGCGACGTGACTTGCCTCGTCGTTCCATATACGCGACCGATTCCCCGCCTCTCTCTCTCTCTCTTTCTCTCCCTTCGCCCACTGGAATTTTTCCCTTCCGGCGCGCACGGCGGCTTATCGGACAATTTTTGATCGCTCATGCGGATTCGTCCCTCCTCTCTGTTCTCCGTAAGAGCGACCGGTCTTCTCGTCGCCTCTCGTCCCCTTTCATTTTTTCACCACGAGACCAAAGTACGAGAAAACGTCAAGTTACGACGCTTCACGCACTCGTACACCAAGTACTTAAGGTATCCGTGCCTTAAGTACTTGTCTCGTAGTCTAAAGCATCTTTCCGTACCTTCGCAACGTGTGGACTCCGCCTTTTCGTCGTCCGACGATCGATGCGCCAAGTCACCCTCCGGCGAAAACCAGAAGCTTACATGAGTATCGAGATTTCACTTTATCTCCGTGCGTGCGAATCTCGTTTTATCTGCCGTTTCGCCGTAAGGGAAAGGAACATGACAGGTATCTCTCTTCTTGTTTGGTACCGCGACATCGCGACATCTCCGCTCGCCGAAGAGGTGAGACCAAAACTAGGCAAGCGGCGATGACGAAAATCAGGGAAACGAATACAGGAGGATTCTTGATTACAATCCGATCCGGCTAACGTGAGATACAAGAGGAACAGACTTTTACCGAGGCTTAGTCGATATACACGTAGGCGAAGTGGGGATCGGGAATCGTGGACGGACATACCGTGGGGATGGGTGATAAGAAAGAGATAGATGGAGAGAGAGAGAGAGAGAAGAGAGGGGAGAGAGAGAGCCGATAAAGGCAGCCAAGTGCGCACTGCGAGCCGCGCATCTGAACTTACTCAACGCCCACCGACTATTACCGAGTCGATCGTCCAATTGGGCGACCTGGTAGCCGCCCACCGATCTGTTCGCTCGGCTCCGCGTCGCCCACGCTTTCAAGTGCGGGCTTTCCGCTCTTCCTCACGACCGGCGGGTAGCCGGTCGTCCTTCCTCGTTGCCACGGCTGCGCAATTTCAAAATCGGACGTCGATGTCGGACGCGGAGGCACGTCCCGGGGATAACCGATTGGTGCGATTACTCCGCGGCACCGACACGTTGCGCTCGCTTAGACCCGGCCTAACCCCGGATTGGCCTGGTCTCACCATGCGAATAAAACTGGAATACGAATTAATCGTCCGATAGCGCGCTATCTGGGTTGGTCTTCCGTTCAGTCCCAGCGGGCTCTACTTACATCGCTCTCTCGAGATTATCGCAGATTGCTGACTATTAGCGGAATAGGATTTCGTGAATAATCGATTTGTAACGACCAGGCATATTCGAGCGTATACGTGTAAACCCAGTGATAATCTTCAATTTGGGCGGGCAGAAAGAACTTCTCCTGTTAGTAATGAATTTGGTCGATTTGAAATCGACCGAGTTACCTTTCTCGTTGTTTTGCACTCGGAAAGGAAAAATCATTAACCTCGCTATAAGTTATATATAGAAAAAAAGTACTGGATTAAAGTAAATAACTATAAGATTCCTCGTCAAATTTTCATTTGGATCAAGCAAATATTATTTGAGTTCCAAGTAAAAATCTGCTAAGGATTATTGGAATAATTCTTTACTTGAATCTAGCACTTTTCTCCGTGCGTAGTCAATTAGTCAATATATGTAGTCACCATATTTTTCGTTGCTTCAAGGAAAATGTAGTAGCAGCGATATACTTATAGGGTGACTATTACACACTCTCTCTCTCTCTCTCTCTCTCTCTGACACTATATTATCAACACCATATATTATAACATTATGATATATAGCAATAGTTTATTACAAAAATAGGTCTTCCGGCTACAATTGTTTCACTTTGCAATTATAGCCACAAGTGAAGAATCTAACGACTGAGACTGAAGCATATAGGATATGCGAAACCGATTTCTCACTCGACAATTATTTCTCGAGTCATTAGACTGAACGGATACCTGAGCGAGATAAAAATATAAACGCTGAAGTAAAATGCGATACTTCGCAATTATCACGCGTGATATTTGCACGTTATCGTCGGCATATGCATGAGTACCAGCGAGTCGATCTCTCAAGAGGAGAAAAACCGCTGTCATGTATGTCTATCGATCTTAAAATAGGCGCGTATAAACAATGGCTCTATACCTATAATGCGTTCGCTATAGCTGCTTAACGCGTATTACATCTATGAAGTACGCGTAAGTCGTGCTAGTAAATGGACCTTCGGCGAGTGCAGATAATTGTCGACGGTGGGAGGGGGGGGNGGGGGGGGGGGGGGGCAGAATTTGATAACAGTAATTTGAAACGGCGGAACTTACTTCCTCCACTCCGAGAATACGAATATAGCGACACTATTTAACCATAGTTTCTCCGATAAGCGAGCGACAGACTCGCGTCTCGAATATCGTGGATGAATTTATAAACGAAGCTAATCAGACTGTCAAACGAGCCCGCCGAATAATTTGGTGTTGAAATATTTTCACGCGAGTTCGAAGTCGGTGTATTACGATCGTTTTGGGAGTGTAGCAGCTTCGGAGTTATTTCACCGCAAGCCGCAAACGACCACTCGCAGCGGTGTCGCCTAAGTGGACTAGAACAATTATGACTCGATAAATATTATCAAATATTTGCCTTGTGGGAAGCGGTGTTGTGTATCCACACGGGCACAGCAGACACTTGTTTGATACGCGCGAGTTGCGCGAATGTGCGACGTATCGATGATTATCGGCCGATTAATAAGATTAGACTCTATTTATCTAGGCAGCTGAATAAATTGATTTTCGTTACGCCAACTGTCGCGCCGGGGAATAATGAAGTTGTCGGGATAAGCAGACAAACTAGTTTTCCGCGTTCGTCTGTGCAGAGGCCGGCATCATGATAGCCTTAGAGTGACTACAAATTTCAACGTGTACACACACATATATATATATATATATATATATATATATATATATATATATATATGTACGGCTAAAACACTGCAATAACACTGTAGAGAAAGTATCTGATATTCGTCACTATCTAATCTAATCTAATGGCATATATAATGAAATTAGTCAGGTAGAAATAGTGAAAAAGTAAAAGAAATGGTAGTAAGAAAAGTCATGTTGTAGCAGATGTTACACTATTAACCATCTCCAAAGTTGGAGTTGTACATGACGAAATAAAAACTCTTGTGTTACTGATAATCATCTTAGAGAAAAAAGCGTTTGATATATTGCCCTGTTGAAAAAGAATCAGGTGGAAATTCATATGGGAAGTCCTTATGGAATCAAACGATTGTCCTTGGAGATTTGCACCACAGGTCCTGAGTAACATTTCACAATTCATATTGGGATTCCTATATGGATTTTCACGCTCTAAGTGGATGTAAATTCCTGTATGGATTTTTAACACGAATTTACATGAGTTCTTTTAGATTTCTGTGGAAACCCACCTGGAAATTTTCAATAGGACGAGAGAAATTATAGTTACTTTCGGTCTCAACCATACCTTTTTTATAGTATTAACCACGAAGATAGTAGTGGCAAAGGGCATATAAGGTTATTATCATTGAAACTACAATAACATTTATTAGAAAAATGGTTTTCTTGACTATAATTCTTTCACTATGATGATTATGGTTAAAAATATTTTTTCCTCGGTGTATTTCTGACTATAAGAAAGTGCATAGCAAAATACTCACAGACAGTAAATCCATTTTTGCAACAAACTCTGCTACAATGTTGCTGATAATATATATATATATATATATANTTGCGTTGAACAAAATTGGTGCCGAAAATGACTGCAACTTCTAGTGAGATTAACATTTCTTCTTCTCTGTGTACTGCTACTTTGT